GACAGCGTCACACCTGTGCAAGGCAGGGTAGAGCACAGAGCCACACCAGAGTCACACTTTTCTTCAGTCTCTCCACTGAATTTGCCACCTGGTAACTTTTAAAAATGTCTCCTTGATATCATAGAAGGTTGTAAACCATTGTCCCCACTTCTACACAAGGAAATCAGTTCTCAAAGGTGGGAAGGCATGCCTAAAAAGTCAGCATGTAATGATAAAGAGAACCTTTATTTGTGCTCCAAGATCTTGGGCAAGAGCTTCATCTCTCTCTGCCTTCACAGTTTGTGTTCCTAAGGAGGAAGGGAGGAGAATTCCACCAAGTAGGCTCCCTCCCCATTGTCCTGGGCTTAGAAACCTTCACAAGGCAGGGCAGAAAGCTCCTGGAGTCTGGTTCTGTGTTCTTCCCAGATACACACAGATGACCACCCCCCCAGACATGCCTCACACTTTGGGATCCCAACCACAGTGATAGGACACCCACAACCCCAACCAGAAAGCACCCTGGGCAACCAAGAGAGAGAATCCCACACCCACACACCACTCATCCTATGCTGCTCCCCACTACTACTATGTTAGCTCAAATCATTTTCCCATTGACTTCTCTCTCTTGACTTACCTCTCCCCTAAATGCAGGGTCTTCAAAAACCTTCCACAGGGTCAGAATGAGATCAGCTTCTATCACACCTGTCTTAACTTGGCCATGCCCATCCATCTCTACCACACACATCAGCCGGGCCAAGGACACAGTGCTCCCTTGGAATGGTCAGCCCGTGCTACAGCACTGTGCTCATAGCCTAGAATGCCCTATGCAGCACCCCTGCCTCAATCCAAAAGGGATCCTTACCATGGCCCCCCGATAGATCTGCTAAGCCTGCCAGGGAGTTCTGGGAAACCCAAACTGAGGACAGGCCCTCCCAAAGACCCTGTCAAGAGGCAGGGATCAATGGACAAAGTGGTACAGGAATCATCTAGGGCGTCCTTTACAAGGTCTTTGACACCCCAACCCCCTGCAACGGACTTGAGGACCCTATTCAGGCTCCCATCTCCAACTTCCCTCAGTTCTCACCAGCAATTACCAGTAATGTATCTGTCGCTCACCTGAGACTACCCTCTTGGTAGAAAGGCACTAGCACCTCACTGTGTGCCTCGCCACACCCAGCCAGGTCAGACCTAGGGCATGGGCTCTGTGGTGAGGCACCCAAGGAGCATCTTCTTGTGTTTAGGCTGAGCTACCTGCTGGCTATCTCTGGTTGCTCCTGGGGTCCCTTGTCCCAACAGAAGCCATACTTGTTTCTTTATGTACATGTGAGTGCCACTGCCTCTATAGGATTCTTGGTCCAATTTCAGAAACCCTGCCTCTTCAAACAGCAAAATGCCTGCAGGACTCCATAGTATAGGAAGGGGAAAAAACATGGGCCTACCCTCATTGACTGAAGCCACAACAGGTCACAACATAGGTCTAACAGGTGACCTGAGCTCCCTTGACATTGATTGAGCAGGGGCTACGGACAAGTCAGGTCTACTCCCTGGGCCCATACCTTTCAGAATGACAGGCAGCACAGAACCATCAGGATGAACCAGATCCCTTCTAATGAAATTCCTTTTGTACTTAAGTTGCACTGTTGGGGGTGGGAGTGTGGCCCTGTGACTGCTGCCTCAGGAAAGTGATTGCTATGGTTCTTCATTGTATACCCTTATCACTAACTCTTTGGCCCCTTCATACCCAATATAAATAATCCTATTTATAAAACTCTATTGTCCTTTTCGTAATATCTATTGTACCTTTATGATTTTATGTACTCTTAAGTTTCCTAATTAGGGACACAATATGATGTTTACACATGTGGCTGTGATTTTTTTCACTAATGAGTACGGTCTCTATGTGCATCAATTTACCTATAAAAGTCTCAAGCTTATCTCTCTTTATAGCTGAGTAATATTCTATTGTATAAAAACACCAATTTTTATCCCTTCCTCAGTTGATGGACATTTGGGTTACTTCCAAGATTTAGCTATGACAAACTGTGCTGCTATAAACACGGATGCACTCATATCACTATGGTATGATGTTTTCATTTCTTCTGGGCAGATTCACAGAAGGGGAATACCTGGACTAAATGGCATCTAATCCTAGTTTTTTGAGGAATCTTCACACTGATTTCCACAGTGGTCATACCCAGTCTACACTCGCACCAACATGGAAAAGGGTTCCCTTCCCCCAACAGCCTAGCCAGCATTTGTTATTGGTTGATTATCATGATGGTAGCCATTTTCTGCTCAAAAGGAAAGAACTAGGATGGGGGAAAACAAAAGAAAGCAGGAAAGAAACACACACACACACACACACACACACACACGTATCCTGGTTTGGGGTTTTTGCAAAGGGAATAACACAATACAGGACACATTTTATAAGATCATTTTATAATCACCTAAGAATCATATACAAAGAGTTCAGGAAATCTGTCCCCAAAGACTAAAGAATCCAGCTGCGGGCCTGGATCCTAATATCCTGCATGAGTCTAGCTGAAAACCTACAGCCCATAACAATGTCTCTCACAAATCAAATTGGAGGCCTACAGTCCATGACAATGTCTCATGCAGGTCCAGTTCACGGATTTGCACTGGGAAGGCCCAAAGGTCAGAGTTGGAAGCTAGAAAGTCTATGCCAGAACAAGGATCTGTGCTAGTGGGCTAAGTATAAGGGATATGAACTGCAGCCAGGAAGCAAAGCTCCCCACAGAAGAATCACAACGATCCTCAGCAACAGTGAGGTCCCAAGCTCCTCCAGAGATAAGGAAAGCTAAGTTCCCATTAAGAAAGCCAACATAATAAGCTTCTCCAGGAGACTGAGCTGTACACCGTCTTCCCCTTAGGATCCAAGAAGCCACGCTCAAGATGAGAACCAGAGCTCCCCAAAATGAACCACAGCGATTCTTAGGGACAATGAGATCCCAAGATCCTCCTCCCAGAACAGCCAAGTTCATCAAGAAAGCCAGCATGACAAGTCCATCAAGAAAGCCAGCATGATAAGTCCCCAGGAGAATAGCCCAAGAGAACCAGCAGCTATCAGCAGCTTCAACAGCTTCTCCAAACAGCTTCCCTAACAGCCTCCCAACAGCCTCCCAACAGCCTCTCCAGTCCTGTCTCTTATGCTGCTGGTAACCATCCTCAGGTGGGCCTCCCATTCCCACCCTCACACTAGCTCAATTCAGTTGGGTGTAACAAGTTCACAATCAGTTAGTAATCCACTACACACAAGAGAGCTAAGCTAATTGTACTACTAATTTCTATTGGTTTATTGAAAGGAATGGCTAATGCCTAACTGTTTAATCATTTTTGCATACTTAGATCTGATAATCTGAACAACTACTTTGAAGATAATAATATGCAATATAAGAACCTTTATCATCTTGTTTGGAAATTCTGTGGTTTTGTTATTTTTACTCTTTAAAAGAAAAAACCTCAGGGGCCTGCCCATTAGCTCAGTTGTTTAAGTGACTGCTTAAACAGAGCAGTCAGGCTCAGACTGCTGTGGTTCCATCCCCAGATCCTCAAGCCTTACTCCCTGAAGGCATCATGAGCCAGCCAAAAAGAGGATTGCTACGAGTCTGAGCCACATATTGAGACCCTGTACCAAATGCAATAAAAAAAAAAAAAAAAAAAAAATCCATCTGAAAAAATCTCGATTGTCAAACTAAGTGTTACAGACTGTGTTGTTTAGCCTCACATTCCTATGTTCTGACCTCTAGTACTTTAGTATTTGGTTGTATTTAGAGATAGTCTTTAAAATGTAATTAAACTAGAATAAGGTGATTGGAATGGGCCTTCATCCAGTACGACTGTTGTACGTGGACCTGTACATAGAGGGAAAATCACTGGAAGACAGAGAGATAAAGAGGTCTCAGACACCTTGATCTTGCCTCCAGAATTAAGGGGCAATGAATTTCTGTTGAATAAACTACCCAGCTTATAGTACTTTGTAATTTCAGCGCTACCAAACTCAATGTAGAAAGGCACATTTTCTCTTTGACGTTAATATAGCCTTTGTAATGTTTTCTTCTCACCGATAATGTTTTCTTCTTGCCAAGATTATTATCGAGGGCGGGCGTGGTGACTCTATGGCCCAATTGGGTTTAGAGCACAGGCCACACACAGCAAGAAGGCATGGGAGTCTGAGGAACCTCAGGGATCTTCCCCATGAGCAGGAGCGCACTGGAAAGGACCCGAGAAAGTGGTGCCCCGGCACAGTGGGGCAGGTTTGTCGCACGCTAGGCCCTGAAACGCTCTTCCTACCAGCCTTCGCCAAACTCTCCAGAGTATACTATTATTTTTTTTTGCGGAACCAGGAATTGGACTCAGGCCCTTGTGCTTGCCAGGGAAGCACTTATTCCACTGAGCCATCTCCCTGGCCCCCAGACCTTGCTTTTAAATGAGCCAGGCAATGTCTAGGACCAGGCGCACTGGAGAAACCCTAGTCGGCGCCCTTCCGCATCGAAGCCCGAGGCTGTGGCTGGAGAGCGAGGTGCGCGCCCGCGCATCCTCCACGCGCGCGGCTGCAGCCCCTCCGCCCCCAGCTCCGCCCAGCCCCGCTCGCACCCCGCGCTCGGCCGACAGCAACCAGAGCCCGCTGTTTCGGCCTCGCAGTGTTCATCCATCTATACTTTGTACCCGGCGTTCGTTCTCTGAATCAACAGGCAGTGGAATAAGTGCCTTACTGTTTCCCTCACAAGTAACTTTGCAGAGTCCCGGGCGTCCCTGTTTTTCTCCTGGGTGTGGCCCGCCTATGACTTCACACAGGTTCTGGGCCTTAAGTGAAACCCAGGTTCTCAATTCCCATCTCTAAGAGTAAAGGACTGTCACCCGCCTAGGGTCGGTGGTAGTCGGGTGTGCGGTCGCAGCGCCCCGCCTCCCACGCTCTGCGCGCCCCGGCCTCCCAGCGCACCGCACTTCTCCGAAGCTGGGTCCGGCACCGCCCCGCGACCCTGCCCGGCTCCGCTCACCCAGGCCGGCAGGTGTTGGCCCCGCAGCTCGCGGCTGATAAACTGGCGCTCGTTGTTGAGGAACTCAAAGGCGGCCTCCAGGCGCCCGAGCTTCCCGCGGCGGTTCCGGCGCCACCACATCCACAGCACGACGCCGAGCAGCACCCAGAATATGCTGAGTCCCAGGTAGCCGGCCAGGTAGACGGGCGCCAGATAGAGCAGCACGCGCTGCACGAAGCCATAGAGCTCCGGCAGCAGCTGGCTGGTCAGGCGCAGCTCCGGGCCGAGGGCGCGCTTGGCTTCCCGGGCTCCGGGCGCTCCGGGCGCTCCAGGGGCGCGGGGCTCCTCCGCTTGCATCCCCTCGCCTCCGTCTTGTCCTCTTCGAGAACTTCACCCAAGCTCAAGCCTGCACGCCCCGACGACACCTGAACACATCTGTCCTCCAAGCCTAGCCGCTGCTGCCCGCTGGGGCTCGCCAGCCCCTCTTAGTGTGCGCAGCCCGGCGCGCGCCACTACTGTGAGCTGGGCGGGACCCGCGCCCGGGAGGGGGCGGGGCGGAGAGCCGGAAGTCTCCGCCCCGCGGGGCGGGACCGGGTGAAAAGGGTGGGCCCGGCAGCTGAGGACTGGCTGGGAACAGCGTCCCTGCACTCAGGGTCCCGCCTATCAGCAGCAGGGGCGCAGTCTCCAGGTGGAGTGAGCCAAGTGCTGCCCTAGGCACTTCTGTGACTCACCGAGGCCTGTGTGGGATGGAAAACATCACCGAAATCCTGTTTCCTACACCCAACCAAGTCTGGACTTTTAGCTGGGCGTTTGAAGCCCTCCACCCACCTTCCTGTCTGGGCCTCTCCAGTCCCAGGGTGGGCCTGTCCCTGAACCTCGGCGTACCAAGTGGCCCTCAGAGACCCCAACACTCACTAAGCCTTTTAGCATCTATGAAGCGTGAACCTAGGCCCTAACCAGGGAGCTGAGCTCAGGGCTCCTCTTGGGCACCCAACACGGTCTGCTCTACTCTCCCCACTTCTCTGCATCATATAACTTGGGGTGTCCAGACTGCTTTAACAGACTGGGAGCTTCCTAAGGCCTGCTGGCTTTCCTCTGTGGGTGTCAGGTGGCCTGTGAATGAACCACATGCCTCTGAAGGGTTTGGGAATCCAGTGAAGCCCTGGAATTCTGCGTAACCCTAGTGAGTGGTCAGAGCAGGTGGAGCTCTGAATCTCTAAGTTCAGATGTGTGTTAGTCAGTTTCTCCTCCCTGGAGCGAAATACACGACACCCACAAGAGCACACGTTTCAAATCACACCCCTACCTCCCCACAACCGGATATTCAGCCATGAATTTTTCAATGCATCAATCCCACTGAGGAGTATAGTGTCCATATGATCCAATGCCCTTCCACGGCCCCATTGCTGAACACATGAGACTTTTAGGCAACATTTTAGATCTAAACCATAATGAGACAGCAAATCATCTTGTGGACAGCACACATTGTAGGTAGTTCATACAAGAGGGCACATCAGTTACTGGAACGTTCTTTGGAGCCAGCAGGTGTACTGCATGATTTAGAATGAGTTTATACTTTTTCAACAGTTGTATTGGAAGGCCTCATGGAAAGCAGTCAAATGATAACTGTATGCTTCTCTTTGCCTCTCAGGTCTCTCACATTCTGACTTTATCCATCGCTCCCGGGTAAAACTGTTTGCTGCAATGAAGATTTTCAACAACCATATGGTCCTGGCAGTTAGAATCCTTGCATTTTTTTTGTTTTTCCTCAACTGTTCTTGGCCTTCCAGGACTCAGCCGAAACAGAGTTTGAAAGCTTCTCAGTTTAACAACCTGTAATGCTGGCGTTTCACAGCATAGCCTGAGAAGTCAATGTAAGAACTGCTGTTCACTCAAGTTCCTTTTTGGAGTGTGAAAATCCTATTAAAGCTTCTGAAAATTTCTGAAGATGAAAGTTTTATTCTCAATAAAATTATGGAAAAAATAATAATAGGGGAAAAAAAGAAAGTCTTAGTGAAACATTATTTACTCTAGTATTTCTTCCAAACACCTCCATCCAATGCCCAAGGTCAGCAGAAGCTAAAGAAAGGTTCCTGGCACTTGAGGCCAAGTGTGGCTGGCTATTAGGGTGGAGGGACCAGGAGATTAACTGTCAGAACTCTGCTCTTCATCCACACAGAGCACAGAACCTTCCCCTGGGGTCTAGGTCTACACAACACCTCTCACAGATTGAGAGAGTGCCTCGAACCTGTTTTAGTCGCAGATTCCTTGGAGAGAAGATCCGGGTGTATCTACCATTCCTGTAGCACTTCACACTTACCAGCACCACACCTCAGTGTTTGAGGGACAGTTACCAGGAAAAGGAAGCTTGGGAAGGGGATACATACCCACAGGCAGGTGTCCAGCCCCAGGCCTGTCAACACCCTGCAAAATCTGCCCTTAACCATTGCTCTTTTGTTCCTGGAATTTGTGAAACTCACCCATGCCTCCAGACTTTTGTACTTGTTACTGCTACCTGGAATGTTTCTCTCCTTAATCTTCCCCAGGGTGGTGGGATTATGATTTGAATTTTTCCTCTTCTAAGCCTTTATATATAATGTTTTAAAGTTACCTTCAGAAATTAAATACATGAAAATATTGCATCTAAAACTTCATGCCCCAGTTATCAAATCTGTACTTAGAACTCTGGAGTCATTACTTCTCTTCACCTGATATTGTGGTTTACATCTAAAATGTCCCCCCAAAGTCTCATGTTTGGAAGTGGGCTCTGGTGAGAAGGGGCACGTCACTATGTCACTAGAAGTATGCTTTGGAAAAATGAATTCTTGTCCCTGGATCCTTTCTTCTCTGTCTCTTGTCTCTCATCTCTCATCTCCTCTGTCTCTCCCTCTCTCTCGGTGACTGTCTGTCTGTCTGTCTGTCTGTCTGTCTGTCTGTCTCTCTCTCTCTCTCTCTCTCTCT